GTTTAAAAGTTTACAAAATAGTGATAGGTTAGGACAAGTATCGAGGAAGGAAGGAACACAGCTGTTGGGCCAGGGGGCCCACCTGAGATAGAGTGCCGGGAGCAGCTGTCTGCTGAATGATATTTCAGCTGCAACACAAAGGCTGACAATGGCCAGCCATGGGAAGGACTGGGGGCAGGCGGGGACGTTGCAGAGGGAGGGAAAGATACCAGCAAAGGTCCAGGGGTGGCGACGAGGGTAGAGGAGCCCGACAGAAAGGGGACTGTGGGCTGGTATGTGTGTGTGTGTGGATGCGGGTGGGAGAGGACAGCAGGAGCCCCGATCACACTGGGCTTGAAATGAGAAGATTCCAGGGGCGAGTAGCTAGTGAAGGGTTTTAAGTGGGGAAGGCCAGGATTTATGTTTCTGAAGTCTTACTCTGACTAGGGTGTGAGAATGTTCTGGAGTCAGGTGGGAGGGAGGTCATCAGGAAGCTTTGGTGGGGTCCCGGGGCAAGGTCTGTGATGTGTACACAGCGGTGGCAGCAAGACTCAGGAGGCAGCAGACAGATCAGAGACTTAATCTGGAGGCAGGACAAATGGTATTGTGGTTGTATTAACTGGGGTTGGAAGCAAAGCTGAGGAGACAAGGATGACTCTGAGGTGTTGATGGGCAGTGTCTCATCCTACAGACTGTCTGACATCGAGATGGGGAAGCCTCCAGAGTAGGAAGGCCGTGTGAGAGAAAGGAGACTGGGAGCTTGGTTTTGCAGCATCCAGGTCTGAGACCTGCAGTGGGCGCTGTGGCGTGCCATGCTGATGCCCCTTACAGACCGCCCACCCCCAGCTTCCAGCAGCATCGGCTGACTCACAGCTGAGCCCGTCCCGGCCTCACCCTTAACACAGGCAAACTGCCCTTGTGCAGTCCAAAGGCCTTACTTCACCTTTGGAGGACCATTCAACTTCAAGGTTCCCTGTGGGACCAGCTGAGCCCGTTATGATCACAGTAGACTTCCTCATCTCCCCGTGCCCAGCCCACCTTCTCTCAGGCCATCATGTGCCCAGGGGCACCTGCCATGAACATTCTACCCACACATCTCCACACATCTTAGTTCCCAAGAACCCAAACTAAGACAGTTCCAGGAATCAGAAATCCTAAGAATTTAAAATACTATGGCATTTTAGAGCTTCATCACCTGCCAGCTATAAGGACGTCATGCCCTTGGCATCTGAAAAGGGTCATGATTAAAACATTGACTGGTGGAGCAACATCTTGGTCACCTGAGAGAAACAGGGAAATAGACATTACAAGGCAAAGAAATTCAATGACTGTTGCTGAGCAGAATGGATGCGCTGGAGAAAGACAACAAAGATGCTGAGAATGATTAATCATTAATTTACCTGCTGCACACAGGATTCAAGTTGACATTGCTGCTGGGGCCCAGAATGCTCTCCTGGTCCCCCTTTTAGAGTGAAGGGGGATGGGGTTCATGCAATAAATGGAGTCCTGGTTTGAGTGTGGTTCACAGTGGGCCCAGTGGACCCTTGAGGTCACCCAGTGATCATTTTCTGTCCCTGAATATACACCTGGAAAGGATGAAACCTGGTCTTGGCCTATGGGAGAGAGAACTGTTGTGGGAGGACAGGTTATACTGTGAAACTGCCTCCCACTCCCCAGGCAAGACAGGAAGTCAATGACAATATTGTGACCTGGTGAGAAAGGAATATTTCAGTGAAACACTTAAAGACCTCGTCATATCCCCGTGTAAGTCAGTCTGGGGTTGGGTCCTTCACAGGACAGTGGACTACCACAATCGAAAGCAAGAACGAGCCCCAAACTCACTGCTGTTCGGGTTAACAAGGTTCAGACACAAGACGTACACAAGACTGTTGAGCTGGGGAGCATACTCTTTCTCATCCTTTTGGAAAGGAGACCCAGTTCACATTCATGTGTGAGACACCAGGACCCACTTATGCTCAGGCTTCCCCGGGGCTATGTTAACTCTCCCACACTCCGATACAGTGCAGCTGCAAACTGGACTGTACCCACCTTCCACAGAATCCACAGTGACCCACTGTGCCCGTGACATTAAGTTAATCAGCCCAGGCAAAGAAGAAGAGGCCTTAGTACAGCATCTGCCCTCTAGAGAGTGTGAGATAAGCACCAGGGAGAATCAAGCAGACATTCATCAGTGAAGTTTTCAGGAGTCCAGTGGTCTGGGGCATGTCAGGACATCCTCTCCAGGGAAAAGGGCGCTTGAAGGAACGTTGCTTCCCTTTCTATTAACAGTGGATTACAACAAGCAGTGAGCCTCTTTGGGTCTGGAGGCAGCCCAGGGAGAATCATTCCCCAGCAGCAGGGCTGAGTCTAATGGGACTGGCCATGCGAGCCAGGCTGGACTTTAGGGCTGACCCGGACAGTGACTGCAACGTGCTTCCCCTTCCCATCCATTCTAAATAGGGAGCATCTAGAGTGGTGTTCCCAGGCCACCCCACCATTTTCTGTTGGGTGTTGAGAACTGGGTGGAGATACTGTCTCTTTTGAGTTCACTGCTCTTACAGTTGAGAGAAACTTTCAGAAGCTGCACCTGAGGATCCATGGTGGGTCTGCACCTGCACTTAACTTGGATGAGGCGATCCTGGACTGGAAGCCTGAACATGATGCTGAAATAAGATGAGGCTTTGGGGGTAGGATGGCAGAGGGATGAATGCATTTTGTATAAGGGGGGTGTGTGACTCTTCCCTCAAATGGCCACAACAATCTTTCCCATCTTACACACTCGTCCAGAACCTTTCCATTCTCTGAGCAAGAGATGAACTCTTTACTCTTCCCTTTGAACGTTAGTGGGCCTTTGTGAGGATGGTGGAAGTGAGGTTGTGTAACTTTTGAGTTGTCCTATGAGGGGACATAGTTCTCATGAGCATCCCCATCACTCAGGATGTTTGCCACTGAGACTCTGCCATCATACTTCGGGGTTGCTAAGCAGCCCCTTGGCAAGGCTGCTTATAGGTGTTCTGGTCAGCAGTCCTAGCTGAAGCTCTTAAGGCTGGCATCAGCTGCCAAGTTTATAAGTGCCTGAGCCTTCTGGTAGTCCCAGGCTCTACTTGTCCTTGGAGCCACCCCACATGGTGCCACATGGAGCAGAGGTGAGCCATCCCCACTGAATCTCCAAACTAGAACTCCTCTGAGGGGCCATCCCAGCCTCGGGGCTTCCCGTGGAATTGACTGTGCATGTGCAGAGGGCACGCATGAATACGAAGGCTGAGAGAGAGGCCAGGATGGAAGAGGTTAATTTGGGAGATACCAAAATGTCAGTGGTTGCAAAAGCCTTGAGTGGGTGACATGACCCAGGGAGAAAGGAAAGAGAGAGAAGCAGGTGTAGGACTGAGCTCTGGAGCACCCTGTCATCTAGAGAGCTGCCGGAGGAAGGGGAGCTAGGGAACAGAGGAGGGGAAGTCAGGAGAGGAGGGTGTCCCAAGGGAGAGGGTTGCTGAAGATGTCTGCAGGTCACACCCAGAAGGTCGCTGGGGTTAAAAGAATAGTGTCAGTGCAGGGGGCAAAAGCCAGGGGAGAGGTTTGGAGAATGAATGAAAGTCTGGAGGTAGAGAGGGAGTGCAGAGAGGCAATGGGAGCTCAGTGGAAGGTGTGAGGGCTGGCCTTCCATGAGGACTAGGTCAGTTGTCAGAGAAGGAGGCTTCAGATGCAGGCAGATTTGTGTCTAGAAGCAGAAACATAAGGGCTTTTGCCAAAAGTCTTGCAGATGGTGAGCGCCACTGGAAAGGATTTCAATGCCAAGCCTTCTAACCTGTGCCCAGAGGGCAATCAATAGACCCACAAGGGAAGTCCTGACCTTTCCGTCTCAGAGTTCCTGCGGCTTTCTCTTGTTCTCTGTTGTCCAGGGCTCCAGGCTGGTCTGAGGGGCTGGGGGCACCAGAGCAGGTCTTCGGTCCATTTGTGTTCTCGGTGGCTCCAGGAAGTGCTGGTTCCTAGTAGAAGCTCGCCCAACACTTGCTGATTGCTTGCTTGTCAATTTCATTGTAATAGATTGGAATCTAAGCAGCTTATAAAAAAATTATATAGCATCAGATTTGTTAGAAGTTAACCCGCCAGAGAGATCAGAACTCTCAAGGCAAAGAGAGGCTTCTAACAGGTCCTGGAGGCAGGTGGCTGATGGTTCGTGGGAATTAATGCAACCTACAGGTTTCTTGGTGACGGGGGAACTATGGGGAGTTAACTGTTGGCTAAACAAATGGTCTTTATTTTGTGAAACTTCTGGGTGTTGCTCCAACATTAAAAAGAGGCGTTCTGTCTAATGAAGCTCTGGGGGAGCTCTTCCCCTTGACGCCAGGAGGAGCCAGTTCCCTCCAGGGGCAGGTGCTGCGACATCCCTGCTCCATGTCAGGCCCAGCAGGGCTCCAGAGGTCCCTGCTGTGAAGGTGTGGTGCCTGTGCTGAGCCCCCAGCCTGGGAGGTCAGAAGGTCCAGGTCTGCCTCACACCCGCAGGAGGGGAGCTGTCAGCAGGATTAGGAGGGGCTAAGGGTTGAAAGGGCAAGGCTCTGGGGAGCAGGCACTCATTCTGGCATGACGGGGCCACTTGCAGAGGGGCCACTGTGCCCCCACGGAGCCTGGGTGAATCTACCAGCAAGGTGGCTGCTCTGTGTCAGACTCTCAGCCTCACGGCTCAGCTGTCAGACCTTCATGCCTCCACCCAGGGTTCTGCAGGACTGCGTGGATTGTTAGCGCTCCCTCAGGGAGACGCAGCCACCCGCTGCCTTTACCAGCGACCTCTGACAGCTGCACAACTGTGGTCAGCAGGTTGCGGTTCCTTGCAGCCAAGTCCCAGGCCAGCAGGGTGACTGCAGCAGAAGGAAAGGACACAGTCTCCCTCCACCAGCCCTCGAGGACTGGTTTTTGTCTTTTACTTCACAGACAGCTTAACGTTGTTATGGAAGAACATTTTATTAAACATATTCAACTCACTTCCAATGAAATGATTAATTTTTCATTTACAGTGGTGTCCAATGTTTGTCTTCTGTTTTTTTTTTTTCTTTCAAACCAGCACCAAAAAGTAAAACAAAAATACCATGGGTACAGTACGTAAGTTAACTAATGGAAAATATATACATTTGACTCTGAAATGAAGAAAAGAGAACAGAGCAATGATATTATTGCCATTGAAGATCTTTCCCTGTGTTCTAATAATATCAAGCCATGGTCAGCTGAGAGGGTTTCATTTGCACCAATGAAATAGCACCATACGATTGTGAGAGTCTGTAGTTAGTAACACATTTGTGCAACCAAAAAGGTACAGTACTTGAGTGACAGTACAGGGTATTGTTAATAAAGAAACATCGCTGTTGCAATGACAGGGTTTCCCTGTCTTCTGTACAAAGTGGAGCAAGAATGCCATGACAGCTTCACCGAGATCAACCATTGCTTGTGCCGTGAACAGAAGGTGGGCTGGTGAATTTCAGAGCGACAGTGCCAGCGAGAGCTACAAGAGCTCAGAAAAACCCGAACTTTGGGGGACCAAAGGGATGTTTAACGATAACTGAATCGATCACTTGCATTCTGAGGGTGTGGGGCCCTTGCCAGGGGCGTCCAGTTGATACGGCCAGGGTGGCCAGCGGGGAGACTGAGAGGCACCGGGAAAAGGGCTCACCTCTGGGCCATGCACAGGCTTGCCCGGCTCGGGTGGGCCCGTGGTTCCCACACAGGCAGCAAGCAAGGCTGCCCTGACTTCCTTGGCTGGCGGCCCTGATTCCGCTCCTCAGCCCCCAAGGCTGAGAGCTTTCCATCCATCCGTGGCAAAGTCCAGCCCATCTGGGACTGGAAGAAAACTAAGCCCTAGCTCCCCCAAGGCTTTGAGTGCCGTGGGGGAGCCTGCTAACGGCCAAGCCGGAGCAGGGAGGACAGCGTTCTGCACAGGCTCTGGGCAGCCGCGGGAGCTCACCCTGCAGGTGGGCTGCCCCAGCCTGGCACCCTCTGGGGTCTTTTCACAGAGCACCTAAGGAGCTTTCTCAACACTTCTCACAGATTCAAGTGGAACTGAACAGATGCTCGGCCATCTGACCACTTCTCTGCCTTCGGGGTAGTAACAATCAGAAAGCAAAGCCAGCCCGCAGGGCAGGCTGGAGAGGGCAGAGTGTCTCTTTCTTTCTGATTTAAGCTGACTCCAAAGTTGTGACGTCAAAAACACAAACACAGATACATAAACACAGCACCAATAAATCAAGAAGCACTTGGAGATGATCCCATGGAGATTAGCCTAAGTAAGATTCCCCTCTGACATAAAGGAGGAGAGGATGGGTTTTTCATGATAAAGTCCTTGAACAGAAGCACCCATCAAACACCCACTGAGCTGGCCAGCAGACCAGACCTCCCAGCATGCCAGGTCCCCTTCCCCAAGCTCCCCAGCGGGCAGGGTCCTACCATCTTTTGTGCTTTCATACACTCCTGTCATCTCCCTGGGCTCAGAGAGGGCCCAACTATGAGGGGTAAGGTGACCATAGGAGGCAAACACCTTCTTGAGGCTTTTCTGTCATCCTTGCCCCACTAACGTGGGTCAGGAACGATAGCATCACAGTGATGAACACTGCACGGTCTGGACCACAGGAGAGCGGGATGGGCACACAGCCATCCTGGGCAGGGGGCACTCCTCCACCAGGCTGAGTGGTACTGGAGGACACCGGCCCCATGTCAGGGTGAAGCACCAGGTCTGAGCCTGAGTCAGAGCTTCCAAGAAGAATCAACTTCAGATAGATGGCCAGGGTCAGGGTGAAGCCATCTCTAATGGGCAAAGCTTCGTGAAGTACTGGCTAGAGCAGAGGTCCCTGGGAGCAGAGAGGGAATGCCCCTAGCCTCACAAAGCTGCGCTGAGCTCACCTCGATGCAGGCAGCAAGCCCAAGGGCTAGACCAGCACGTGCCTCCGCGCACAGCACCTTGAGGAGCGGCTGTCTCCCTGTGTGGGGGACCGCAGAGATCTGAACACTAGCTGCGTCCTCTAGCCCGGACACCACCGGAACATTCTCCCCCATGTGGCTGGTGTAGAGCTGCGTAGCCCTGGCATCCTTGGTGGTTCACACAAACTCACCCTCCCAGGGACAAGACCTCCGAGGAGAGACCCAGGACCTAGAAAGCACGTTCCCTGACCTGGCACAGCGCCACGTGGCGTCCTGGTGGTGTCGGGGGAGCTCCAGCAGCGCCCCCTCTCCGGAGAAGCCTCCTCCCATCCAGAGCATCACTGGCTTTCAGAATAAAGCCTGTTTTTAAAGGAAAGCATCTCATTTTTTTGGATATCCTCCCCCCGCCCCCCACCCCCACCCCGCGGTACATCGAGCACTAGGAATTCAAAAGTCAGAGGAAAAGTCAAGACAGGGGCGCCCGTGACGTCTCTCTTGACGACCGTCTGTCAGAGGTGTTCCCTTTGAGGTACGTGGAACTTAGAAATTACAATTATTTTGTGACTCATGCCTATCTTTTTCCTTATCGTAGAAAGCCATCCAGTGGCTGTTAACAATATATTAAGTATAAAAGCATTAAGCAAACATCAAGTCCACTCTCAAGTTCTATGCAGTCGGATTCTCGGGACAGCCTCCAGGGTGAGCCGCGGTGTGCCTCGGTGGGTCCCGGTCGCAGGCCTGGCAGGCTCTCAGGCGGGTGGGCTTTCATCTAGCCGTGTCGTCGGGACTCAGACCTCGCGTCAGAGCATCGCGGGACCACCGGGCCGCCTGTCAGGAGCTCGGCGGCGGGGGCGGCTGGCGCATCTTGTTCGCATAGAAGTCCCTGCATGTCTGGCAGCAGCGCTGGTACCACCGCATGTCCTGGCAGAGGTTCTTCTCTCGGATGACCCTGCAGTACACTGTCCATTGGTCCCGTGTGCACTTGTAGGTCAGAGCCGCTGAGGGGATGGTGGAGAGAGAAAGCCCAGGGGTTATGGGTGCCTGCGGATGACACTCCCGGCCGCCCTCACCCACGTGGATGCTGGAACCCTGCACAGACCAGGGGGACCACGCCCCTGCCAGGGCCGTAGCTTTTACAAGGGACACTCTGAGTCCAACCTGACCATTTCGGGGTTTGGTGTGAGGGCACTGCCCCCCTGCTTCTGAGCTAAATGGCATGCACAGTCATTTTACAGGTGAGGATGCCATCTGTTGGCATTTATAAAACAGAAGGGTGCAGGGAGTGGACATCCAAGGGCCCACAAAAGCACACGGTCACAGCACAAGCAAGTGGCCTGAATCGCCCTGCTCTTGGTCATGCAGAGACACAGTCCTGCCTCAGCAAGGCCTCTGGAGGACGCCAAGGAGGGCTGTGTGTGCCAAAGCCTGGCGAACACCTCGGCAAGCTTGAAGACCCCGCTCCCCCCCAGTGAAGCTTGTCTGGAAACCCCTTCACGTTGGTGGCACCCCAGCATTAGGGAAAGGGGCTCTGGTTGGGAAACTGTTCCCGAGGGATTTCTATTCAGAAAAGCAGAAACTCTTTCAGTGGAATCATCAGATCAGCGCTAGACATTCTTCTTTTGGGGCCACCACAGGCTGGGGACGTGGCCAGGTAAAGGGCTGAGTAGACTGCTCACACCAAAGCTCCTGCTGAATTAAAGACTCCCATCTGTCAACACCTCTGTTTCCTTCTTGAGCATCAGCTTCAGGACCATTTCATAAATGACACCCCCAGATCCTTCATTTCCTGAGTAAGCACCTCCCTTTGCCTCCTTCATGCAGAGAATCCCAAAACATTTGAGGAGCATTCTCTCATGTTGCCCTTTGTTGGGAGAGGGGCTCAAGGGTTTGAGGCATCTTTTTCATGACAAGGAATGAAATTCCATCTCTGAAACCTCAGATCTTCTCTAGAACTGACACATGTTGGCCTCTCCAGAGCTCACATAAGGCCCAAGGAGTACGTTTTCTGGCTTACAGAATTCCCACCGCCAGTGGGGACTCCCTGGCCAGCGGGTGCAGCAGCCCCAGGAGTGGGGGCTCGGCAGAGGCACTCACCGAGGCGAGGGGAGGTGATGGTGTTCACGTTGATCTTGTCATTGCAGACTTCCTGGTGGCACTGTTTGTAGGCGGCTGGCTTGGCGAGGGCAGGGCACTCGTTGCCATGGCGCCCAGTGATCTTGTGCATGCACTGCACCACGCGGGACTGCAGGCCCTTCCCACAGGTCGACGAGCACTGCCGGAGACAGGGAGAGCTGAGCTCGGGCTGAGGGGCTTTGACGATGCCACTCCTGGCTCTGGTCCCTGCATGTCATTCCTAAGTGCTTGAAATAATCATAGTTCAAGAGGGCTTGGCTGCATACCAGTGGCCCGAAGGAAAACTGTTTCAAGATGTTACAGACTGCATGTCTGGGTCCCCTCCACCTCCAAATATTTAATGCCCCTGTGTGTGTTAGTTGCTCAGTTTTGTCTGACTCTTTGCGACCCCATGGACTGTAGCCCACCAGGCTCCTCTGTCCATGGGATTCTCCAGGCAAGAAAACTGGAGGGGCTTACCATTTCCTTCTCCAGGGGATCTTCCCAACCCAGGGAGAACCGGGTCTCCCCCACTGCAGGCAGACTCTTTACTGTGTGGGCGACCNGTTTTGTCTGACTCTTTGCGACCCCATGGACTGTAGCCCACCAGGCTCCTCTGTCCATGGGATTCTCCAGGCAAGAAAACTGGAGGGGCTTACCATTTCCTTCTCCAGGGGATCTTCCCAACCCAGGGAGAACCGGGTCTCCCCCACTGCAGGCAGACTCTTTACTGTGTGGGCGACCCAGGAAGCCCTAATCCCCAGTGAGGTGGTATTTGAAAGTAGTTCCTTTGGGAGGTGATTGGGTTTAAATGAGGTCATGAGGGTGGGGCCCCCATGATAAGATTAGTGTCCTTATAACAAGAGGGAGATAGACCAGGGTCCTTATAACAAGAGGGAGATAGACCAGGGTCCTTATAACAAGAGGGAGATAGATCAGGGTCCTTATAACAAGAGGGAGATAGACCAGGGTTCTTTCCTTCCACCATGTGAGGGCACACAAGAAGGCGCCTGTTTGCAAGCCAGGAAGTGGCCTCTCACTAAGAGCCAATACACTAAGCGCCTTGATCTCGGACTTAGCCTCCAGAACTATGAGAAATAAATGTCTTGTTATTCAAGTCACCCAGACTGTGGTATTTCATTACAGCAGCCTGAGATGGCTAAGACACGTTGCTGAAATATTAATTTATGCTNACACAAGAAGGTGCCTGTTTGCAAGCCAGGAAGTGGCCTCTCACTAAGAGCCAATACACTAAGCGCCTTGATCTCGGACTTAGCCTCCAGAACTATGAGAAATAAATGTCTTGTTATTCAAGTCACCCAGACTGTGGTATTTCATTACAGCAGCCTGAGATGGCTAAGACACGTTGCTGAAATATTAATTTATGCTCATTGCACTTTACCTTCCACCCTCTCACTCCTGTTCCAGAGAACCAGCTGGGCTTTAAATTCTCCAGATAGTGAGCAGGGTGGCCTGCTGGTACCCAGGAAGGGACTGAACCTGATGACCACAGGGATATCCCTGGCACTTTGTGCCACACAAGGATCCCAGGCATTTGCCCAGCCCTGGATGTAGGGAGGAACCCAATAATCACGGGGTTGAATTTCCATAAGCCTGGAAGGGTGGAGTTCAGAATTAAGTAAAGATACAGGAAATGAAGAAGTGCAAACTTTCTTGCATGATGGGCTCATGGACTAATACGGGGGCTAACAGTTTCAATTTAGACACTCAATCCCTAGTTCTTGGCATTTCCAGCATTTGCAGATGGCTAAAATCAAACCAGTGTAGTTCGGCAGACCATCCCGCCCTCCCATAGAGAGGCCTTTTAAGACTGTGTTCTGTCTCCTGCTCTTTTTCTGGTTCCTCCTTTAAAGTATTTTACAGGGAACCTTCCCAGTATCCAGCATCAGGATTCCCTCCCCCAATCCTGCTTGCCAGCTCCTTGCCCTCACTTGCTTTCCTGGGAGCCCCTACAACCGTCTCTCCATTAAGTTATTTAGCTCCCGGCCAGAGAGCCTGGCCCACACACACACTCTCTTCATCTGGGGTCCACTAACGTGCACACAATCTCTGGTTTACAGGGTTCTGAGAACACTCTGGAAAACTTGAATAAAGCAAAGACCATGGGTGCAGCAGCCCAGCTGGGGTGGACACAGGCACCTAGAGGTGAGAGAGGGGAGCAAGGCCTCTCTGAATGCCACGCGTAGTGAGGATGCCAGGCACTATCTGCATCATGTGTCTCCCCATTTCTCCCCTCGGTCCCACCCTGGCCTGTGCTGGAGGAAGGGCCTTCTCCAGGGCCTGGGAGGAGCCCTCCTGCACAGGCTTGATGCGGAGCCCTTCATCTGTGAGAAGCAGCCATCATCTGTGGTCCCAAAGGAGCTTCTGCACCCCAGGTGAATTCCTCTGCTTTCTAGTCTAACAAGCAAGATCACAATTTTTTTTTCACTTTAGAAGGATGAAAGGCTCAGAGGGCACAGTGCTCTGACAGGGCACAGCCTTTTCAAACCATAAACGAGGTAGGAAAACCACAAGTGCCCCCTTTCCCCACCTCCTCTGCTGAGGGTCCTGGCACGTTCAAACCAGAATAGACTCTCCCTGAGAGGCAAGGCTATGCGCCTTGCTTCATGTCCATCTTCTTGGTAAGTCCATCAGGGGATGATCGCATCTTGGAGAATCCCTCGTGCATGATAAATGCACATTCCTGGGTTCCGCCCCAGAGCTCAGGAGTTGGTACAGGAGCACAGGGAAGTTTGAGGGGGGCTGTGTGGAAGGAGGAGGTCACGTGAGGATGTTCCCACAGACTGGATACCTGAAACAGGTGCCACAGCCATGTGACTTCTGCCTGGAGGGCATCTCCGAGGGAGAGGCTGCAGGCTGGGATCTGCTGCGTGGGATCACCTGGAGAGCTTGGAAAGATCTCCATGCCTCAGATCCATCAGTATCCCTGGAGGAGGCACCAGGATCAGTGTTTCTCAAAGCTCTCCAGGTGACTCCAACTAGCAGCCAGAGCTGAGAACCTCTGACTCATCTGAATTTCTTCTCTGGGTCTTGGGTAGTCTGCAGGGCTCTGTTTTCTTACAATGAAGTAGTCAAGTATTTGTATTCAAATATGTGTAATTAAGCTACCTAGGTGGCACTAGTGGTAAAGAACCTGCCTGCCAATGCAGGAGATGTTTAAAAGGCCTGGGTTTGATCCCTGGGTTGGGATGATCCCTTGGAGAAGGGAACCGCAACCCACTCCAGTATTCTTGCCTGGAGAATCCTATGGACAGAGGAGCCTAGCCGGCTACAGTCTGTGGGGTTGCAAAGAGTCAGATATAACTGAAGTGACTTAGCACAGATGTGGAATTAAGCAAGAACAGACATCCACTTGCAGTCCCAAATATTAAGTTTATATAGAGATGATGTGCTGCGTGCTAAGTCACTTCAGTTGGAAGTGCACTGCAGAGACTGGAAGTCCACACCAACAGGGTTAAGTGAAGGAAATGGCCCAGGGTCCTGCATGCTTAGTTGCTCAGTCCTGTCTGATTCTTTGAGACACCATGGACTTTATGTAGACCATCAGGCTCCTCTGTGCATGGGATTCTCCAGGCACGAATTCTGGAGTGGGCTGCCATTTCCTACTCCAAGGGATCTTCCCGACCCAGGGATTGAACCTAGGTCCCCTGCATTGCAGGCAGACTCTTTGTTGTCTGAGCCCCCAGGGAAGCCCGGTTCAGGGTCCCGGCGCAACGCAAAGTGCTATGAATGAGAGCAAAGCCTTGCCTGTTCTAAGTCATGTCAACACAGAGTAAGGGTACTCAACGCAGAGCAAGGCCATGCCAACCTTGTGAGGGAACATCCAATGAAAAGAGTACATCCAAAAGAGGCGGCATCTCAGGGGATGGGGATGGCAGTGCCCTGCATGCTGGCAAACTGAACAGGGGATCAGAGGGTAGAGTGAGTGATAGACAGACGCTGCAAATACTAGGATGCACTTCACAAAAGCTTATATTCACCTGTTTTCAAACCTGCAGGAAATAGCAATTTTATCAGGTTCAACTTTATAATATGATAAATACAGAAAATAGCTGTATTTCTATTAAAACATAACATATAAACTTTAAATATGAACATATAATTACATGACTAAGTTACATATTTTAAGTAAGCATTTGAGTCCACCTACACCAGTAAAGACTTTTATATTTAAATTGCTCATAAGTTTTTTTAAAGCCCTGCTCCCTGGGAAAGCAAGTGTGTGTGCAGCCTCATTTCTGTGAGTCCTGGGTACTTGGTGAAGAAGGAGCCACGTGTGCACTGGACGGGCCGCCGGGCCTCGTGGCGTCTTGACTTGGCTCACCGGCGCCACCTGCCGTGGGAGACTCGGCAGGAGGAAGAGCGGGGAGTCCTCGTGGCCCTGGAGAAGGTGGGCAGGCCGTGGTGCGGTTTCTGGGTCCCCAGGAAACTCTACACAGGCTAACAGAGAAGAACCTGGGGCTCTGGTCTTGCTTCCATGGCCCCCTGACTGTGAGGTGTGCAGACCCTGCCAGCCAGGCACTTCCAGGCCAATGTCTCTTGTAGGTGTCATTATTATTTATGTGCAATCAGGGCGAGGGCTCAATCCTATGGACCTACTAAAATCACACGCAGAACTCACAAGGCCTCTAGTGTGAAAGGACCAATGACCGCTGTAAAATTCAAGGACCTGGGGTGACCTGGAAGACTAATCTCCCCTCTGAGAGTTCTCAGTCTTGTCTATTAACATGCTCTGGGGCTGGGCTGGGGCAAAGCACTTGGGACGCCCCCAGCCTGTATGTGCAGCTTGTTCTGTCTGTGGGCTCACCTGTAGGATTCCACAACAGTGTGGAACATTTTACAACCATCCACTGAGCTAGACGGCTGTCAGAGTCTTTCCCAAGGTTACAGATAGTGAGTGGGAAAGGAGGGACAGGACCCCAGCTGCCCCATCCCATGGATTGAATTTCATCTTCCTGTATGCATTAGAGGTTGTACTGGATGGAGCTTCTATGTGGGGCCAGGAATCAGAAAAACAGGTCATTGCCCAGATCCACCATTTCTTCATTATTTTTCCTAGCTCAGTCACCAATTTTTTTCCCAGTCTGTAAAAAGAACTGCCCTACGAGATCACAGAGGCTGTCTCCAAAGTTCTGCAGAGACTCGAGCATCTGTCCTCATGGCTTCCCAGCACATCCAAGAGGCAGGGCCGGGCCAGGTGAGAGGCTGGGGCTGATGCTCAGCTGCTGTGGGGGTCTGCTGAGACCCTGCAGACACTGTCCCTGATAGCTCAGTTGGTAAAGAATCTGCCTGTGATGCAGGAGACCCCAGTTCAATTCCTGGGTCAGAAAGATCCACTGGAGAAGGGA